CCGCGGCGGCAGCTTGCGCCGCGGCTGCGATCTGCAGCTTGCGCCGCAGCGGGCACTGCGTGCAACGGCGGCGCATGGGCGAAGGGGGGGGACCAGGGCGGCGCCGCGCACCGGGGGTAGAGGTGGCCATACTTCAAAATTGTCGACGCTTCGCGACCCCCCACCAGCCCAGCCCGAAACAGCCACGCTTGCGACGCGAGAGGTTGGGGGGCGCGCAGAGGGACAAAGAGCGGGGGAAACCGCCACGCCCCAAGATGGAGATAGAAGGAGAAGAAGGATGACGAATCGGAGGAGGAATAGGAAGAGAAAGAAGAGGAGGAGGACGAGGAGAAGGATGGGGAGCGGAATGTGGAGGAGGACGATGAAGAAGACGAAGATGAAGAGGAGAAGGCGGGGGAGGGGGCGGGGGGAAGATGAGAAATAGGCGGATGATCGAAGGGAAATTGGAAATAAGGTGACATGAATGTAGATGGCTTTGTCCGCGAGAAAGCACAGGGATTCGAAAGTAATCGTGGAGTTACCGGGCGCGGGAGCTGCAGGTACCAGCCCCAGATCAAAAATGGGGCCCAAGGATCCACCACCTCTGCTGACTCGTAAGCGAGGATGTGGTGGTCCCGGATGTGCTCCTCCTCGACGGCGAATTCGCTCGACGTCTCGACGTTTGGACCCATGCAGGCCGATCGCCGTTCTGGCTTGAGGTCGTCGGTAACGCTGTCACGGACCGACCTAAGCCCAACCTCATCATTGTGCTGGGTCCCGCCAATGGTATAGGCAGCCACCGTAACCAATCGGGTGCTTCCACGGGCCTCTGGCCCTATCCATGGCATACGGCGACACGGTCACCATAATGCCTAAACTGCTGCTCTTAACCTCACTCTGGGGCCCCGGTGTCGTAGTAGACGAGGTCTCGGATCCTTGACTCTCGGTCGTCACCGGGGGCGTGAACGTCGCGTCGATCGACTGTCCGACGTCCACGGCTACGTCCAACAGGCGGACGCATTGGCAACCTTAAGTCCGCAACCGCTCGCAACACTGATACGAATCGCCTGGGAGTAGATGAAACATATTTTTTGAAATTTGGCGATCATGCCCTGCTGTTTGAAGCCATGTAGGAAATCCCACCAGCCCTCTGGGCGTAGGTGGTTTAGGGAGTTTCCTCTTCCATCTTCCCTCCTTCCCCTTCGGGGAGGGGTTTACCCCTCCCCCTAACCCCCTTCCCTGGACCTGGACGGGGGGTTCCGCGACACGTTGGAGCGTCCAAGATGGACCAAGACGGCTCCAAGAGGGCCTCGGAGAGGCCAAGATGACCTCCAAGATGCTTCGAGATAGCCCAAGATGCCTCAAGATGGCTCCCCAGATGCTCCAAGAGGCCCCAAGATCGCCCCAAGACGACTCCAAGAGGCCTCCGAGACTTCCAAGGAGACCCCCCAGAGGCCAAAATCCTTCAAAAACCTGACGAAAACCAATGAAATTTGCTTTGCTTTCTTGCCTTTTCGCTTCCAATGGCCTTCCGAGGCCTCAAGATGGCTCCAAGAGAGCCCAAGATAGCCCCAAGAGGGGCCCAAGAGAGCCTCAAGACGGCCCCAAGAGCGCCCAAGAGCGCTCCAAGAGCGCCTCAAGATGAGCCCAAGAGGCGATTTTAGAGGATCTAGAGGGGCGGGGCTAATTAACCCCACCCTCTTCTTTGATCGATCGCCTCCAAGATGGCCCCAAGAGGCGCCCAGGAGGCCCCAAGAGGCGCCAAGATGGCCCCAAGATGGCCCCAAGATGGCCCCAAGAGGTCCCCAAGAGGCTCCCCGAGGCACCCAAGACGCCCCAAGAGGCCTCCAGGACCGCCAAGACGCTCCCAAGACGTCCTAAGAGGCCTTCAGGACGCTCCCAAGAGACATCCGAAGAGACTCCGAGAGGCATCCAAGAGGCCTCTGGCCATTCTGCTCGCCCTTCTCCTCATCCTCCTCCTCATTCTCGTCCTGCTCCTCCTCCTCCTCCTCATCCGCCTATTGCTCCTCCTCCCTCCTCCCTCCTCCCGCTCCCCCTCCTCCTCCTCATTCCGTTCCTCCTCCTCCTCCTCATCCTCCTCCGATTCCTCCTCCATCCTCGCCGTCTTGGGTAAGACGGGTTCCCCAGCCCTTTGTTACTCTGTATGCTCCCTCTCTTCCCTGATCACCTCCATTCGCCTGGGCATCGTTACTGGATGAGCTGGTGGGGATACGCGAAGCGTCAAGAACTGAACTCGTCGTCTTGATAGTCGTATTTCTCTGCGATGCGAAGGTCAGCTGGTAGTTGGACGAGTGCAGGTCCGAAGTTCGATTCTGAAATTCGGCGAGCGTTTCCTGCTTTTGAAGCCATACAAACTGAAGTTGGCGCTCGCGTTAAGGTCGCTGTCGAAGGAATGCTCGAAAATAAAAACGAAAAAGCCGGAGAAGCCGGAGAAACCGGAGGAGCCGGAGAAGCTGGAGCGCAGAAACCAGAAAAGCCGGAGAAACCAGAAACCCCCAGAGATACCGGAGAAGCCGGACAAACCTGGAGAAGCTGAGGAGAAGCCGAACAATCCCGAGAACCCCTAAAAACTAGAGAGACCAGAGACACATGAGAAGCCGGAGATGCACGTGAAGCCGGACAAACCGGAGAAACCGAAACGGGAGAAGCCGAAGAAGCCAGAGAAACCAGAGAAACTGGAGAAGCCGGAAATGACGGAGAAACCTCTGGAGAAACCGGCCGTATAGTTTTCACTACTCCGTCCAGGGCGGCAGATACCGATCCAGGATAAGCACAGATGATGAACCGCCTGCCGCCCGAATGAACCCGAAGACGCGCATAGAACGGTAACAGGGCTGAGGTTGCAATGTTGGGGCTGCGGAGTCAGGGTTCGCGCACCGATTAAACCAATAAAGCGACAGACGCAATCAAAACTGAAAACGGGGGCGAAGGACGGGTTCAGCGGTGGTGTGGTGGCAGGGGCGTGGCTACGCACCGAATAAGCCGATCAACCGATAAACCGATAAACACAATTGCGCAGGCCGAGATGTTAGGGCGGTGTCCTCAGGGCTGGGGCATAGCTACGCGTCGAATACGCCGATAGACAAATAAACCGGTAGGCGCAGTCGGAACTGAAAGCCCGAGGGACGGGTTTATTGGTTGACTGGTTCGTGCGATTTTCGACCGAGCAACCGATATAAAAATGTCGGCTGATCGGTCGACGAACAGATAAACCAATAAACCGACAAATGAGTTCGGTTTATCGGTTCATCGGTTCAGTGGTTTCTGTTTGTACTCCTGCGCCTGTAATCTACATATACATATGCATACACATATACACATACATATACAATCACATTTACATGCACCTATACATATACATAAGTAATTCATATACATACGCATGTACATAATCAGTTACGTATGCATCCACGCATACATGTACACACACATGCACATACATATACATATACATATACATGTACATGTGCGAATACATGTTCAAATGCACATACATATACGCATACACCTACATGTACATGCACATACACATATACATATACGTATGCATTTACATTCACATCAACATTTGCATATACATGTACATACAATATTCAGTCACATAAGCATATACACACATACACACATACGTATACAAATACGTAAACGGATGTACACACGCATATGCATATGCATATCTACATATATGGATTCATCTGCATATTCAGATACACATCCACATACACATACATATATAAGTCTGTAGTAAACGCAAGTATAGATATACATATATACATCTAAAATTAAATATACATATACATACACATATACATACATATTACATACACATATACATATACATAGATGCATATGCACGACCACGTGTACATGTACACATACATGTCCATTTGCACATCCAGATGCACATTTACATTTATATTTACATGTACACATACCGGCACACATACCTGCACACATACACATACACATACACATACACATACATATACGAAACATTAACACTAGACGCATACACATATCACTTTTTCCCTCCCTCCCTCCTCCTCCCACCTGCCTCCTTCCTGTCTCCTTCGTCCAGGCGGGAGAGAACTTCGTGCCCGCCCTGCGGCCTGCTGCTGCTGCCGCCGCCGCTGCTCGTGCCACGATATGCAGCCCGCGCGCACGAACTCGCAGGAGATTCTGCACCTCTCCTGCGGGGAGAGGGAGCCCACCACATCACCCTGTCTCTCCTCTTCTTCTTCCTCCTCCTCCTCCTCCTCCTCCTCCTCCTCCTCCTCCTCCTCCTCCTTAGCCCCTTCTCATCGCACCACCAGTCGCGTCGGCAGGGCCAGCCGGGCACTCCGCCGGAGACATCCTCACGGCGTGTGGCCCCAGAATCTTGAACAGATGCCCGGCCGGAGGGCGGCCCTTTTCCCGCGCGCGTGGCTCTCTCGCGCCGGCAGGCCACAGGCATCGATCCGCAGCTGCACGGAGGCAGGGCGGTCCCTTTTTCCAAAACACGAACACCGCACGAAGGCCGCGCACTTCCGCCTCAAAACGCTCCAACAGCCACAAGGCTGGAGGAGGAGGAGGAGGAGGAGGAGGAGGAGGAGGAGAAGGAGGAGGAGGAAGGAAGGAGTGAGGAGGAGGAGGATGAGAGGGGGGAGGGTGAGGAGGAGACGAGGAGGCGGGGGAGTGCTCTTGTGATCCCTTCTGGTTGACGAGTCAAGAGTGGTCGCGGTGTGGAGGGCGGCGCACGGCTCCCGCCTCGGCGCCGAGCACCTTCGGCCGGCAGCCGTCCAAGGACTACGAGCACGTGTGGCTGCTTGTGTCAAAAGCGGCGCGCGATACTGCCTCCACTTCCACAGCCGTTGCACGGATCATCGGTGGCCCCTTTCCAATCCGCCGGCTCCATCAGCGTGTGCGGCCGACCTTCCGACACCAGAGGCGCATGAAGTATCCTTCACGACCATGCGCTGCGTGTGATCATCCGGAGGCGTGCGAGGCACCCTTTCCAACCCGACGACTTTCCGACACCAGAGGCGTGCGAGGTATCCTTCCCGCCCTTGCACTGCGCGTCCTTATCCGCAGGCGCGTGAGGTATCCTTTCCGGCGAGGCCACCCCACGCCCCCTGGCATCCCCGTCCCTCTGGAATTCTCCTTCTTGCGCCCCGCCCCCCACCCGACGGCCCAGAATCCACCCCGTCCCCCCACCTGGTCACAAGTGACCACCACCTCGCCTCGGCACCCTCGCCCCTGTGGATCCTGTTTTTTGGCCCCCCCCCGCCTGACAATTTTCGGCCTGAACCCACCCCGACCCCCCACCAAATCACCACATGGGCACCGCCTCGCCTCGGCATCCCCATCTCTCTAGATACTGTTTTTGGGCCCCGCCTCACCCAACAGTTTTCGGCACAAAATCTAACCCGACCTCCACCCTGACACCCACCTCGCATGGCATCCCCCGCTCTTCTGGATCATGTTCTTGCCCCCCCCCGTCCGATCATTTTCGGTTCCAAACCTACCCCGACCCCTACCCTGACCCCCACCACACCTGGCATCCCAACCCATCTGGATCCTTTTTTTGGAGCCATCACCCTACACTTCTTGGCCCGAAACCCACCCCGACCCCCACCCTCACCCGCACCGCGCCTGGCATCCCCACCCCTCAAGATCCTGGGCATCTCACTCGACACGTTGTGCGCCCAAACCCTGCGTCCACACCTGTTATTGGCCCCCCCACACCCCCCACCCAGCAATTTTCGGCTTCAAACCCACCCTGACCTCCGCACAGACCCCCACCGCGCCTGTCATCCCCACCCCTCTGGATCCTGTTCTTGCGGCCCCCCATCTGATACTTTTCCGCTCCAGACCCACACCCTGATGCCAACCGCGCCTGACCCCTCTGGATCCC